TCAGTTTCCACCTTGTTCTCTTAAATCAACTCCCACCAAAAATTGGGATATGAAAAATCAATCAATGGAAGCTAGGAATCAAGTTTCTGTTGCGCTCAATGCTAGCGGAAAATGCGATCTTATGAATGATTCCCACTCAAGGACATTAACTAATCTCCCTTTCCTGGAGGAAGAAAAATGTTTAATTGATACTTTTTTGGCTCTGCCTCATTCTGCTCAGAATGAAATTATTTCTAGGCTAGAAGGCTTGAGACAACACTTGATAAGTAGTTGAACAAAGGAAAAATCCACTGTAAATGAAATACATAAAAGGAGGAACCAAAATGTGATTACAGTATAGATAATTCCTCAGACATGGACAGAAATGAAATATTTGGAAGATTCAGAAAATGGCCTTCTACAACAAGATGCTACTCAGATAGATAGGCCATTAAGTACATGCAATCTCATTTCTATAAATGTTGGTGGTATTTTTCCATCTTATAAATTATTGAGGAGATAGCAGCCAGTGCTTGTGATGTCCATTTAATTCCAGAAATCTGAGAGTGCTGAGTCCACTATTAAGCGGTAAAGAAATGTAAATGCTATTGGTATTGCTATCAATTTCATAACACTCTGTCATAACTCCAGCCTAAGGACTCCTAGGATTGGTAGTTTGATGAAGTATCAAGAAGGTACCAACTTATTTCAAGAAGTGGTGGATTAAGGATAAAATCAGATTAATTCTGTGATGCAGACAGGCACTGAAGGTATCTTTAGCAGTTTTACTCAGGTCCCACTGGCAGACGTCTCATAGGCAACTAGTTGAAAACTGTGTGGACAGAATGTTGGAGTAGATAGACCTCTTGGTTTGACCCAACACAACTCTTTTTATTGATTATCATTCACGAGAATGGGTTACAGTTCTCTAGCAAAGAAATCTCAGTACCTCACCAATCCTGCATCCTGAGATTGCTCAGGATGCAGCAATGACAACTGAAGTGGTATGAAACCAATATAACTGTGTAGTGCAAGGACACATTTAGTAGACACTTGTATAAAATCTGATTAAGCAGAAGTGTTACTACATATGTGGAGTCATCCAGGACAGCCCTTGGACTCCAGTACAAAATGCTGGAGACCTCATTTAATTCTACCAAGCAACAGCATTCATTACTTTCCTACCTAATCTTTGTGATCTGGACTCTTGGTGGAGCAGGAAGACCAAGGTCCCCATTAATTATTCTCTCTTACAAACTGCTACTGCAAAGCTCTCAAGCATTCCTTTTGAAGAAGACATAGTGTATTCTGTCAAGCTATAAAGTCGGTGCTGATGAACTCAACCCTTCCCATGCTGAAGAAGGGAACAAAATGTTGTGCCTAGCACAGGTGTGAGAAACAAAGAATGGAAGATGAGCTATGATACAGCTTAAGAAATGTTATTGTAAAAATCCCCAAATCCCAGAAACAGCTTGGCCAAAAATTATGGCTTGGGACTCTTCCAAGTTTTGGACAGGGGACAGCATGGCTACTGAAGTCCTTGTGCAATGACCTCTTCAACTTCAGTCTTTGCATCCGCAGAGGGGAAGGATAAAAATTATTATTATTATTTCCCTGTTCCTTCTTCTGTCCTCTTTAGACAAGAAAGTACAGGCAAGCAATTTTTGATTACGAATGTCTACTCAGTAGTCCCACTGGGTTTAGTGGTGGTTATAACTAATTAAATATTTTTAGTCTTTTGGCCTTAATATTCCACACTTTTCCCTAATGTACATGTGAGCAATTTCAGTATTTCTGGGGATAGTTCCCCTGCCCCTGCTGAGATACTGTGGAGTACATCCCCTCTGACAATGGAGTTTTTATATTAATTTTTTTTAATGAAGTGATTGGATCTTCCAATTAAAACATATTTTAAAATCATGCTTATCTTTTCTTCATGGACATAGGCTGTGTACCTAGGTGGAAATGTCTGAAATTTCCAGTTAACAAAAGCACACTTTAAAATTCTGTTGTTTTTTTTCATTGACCTAAGGCCATGTGTGAAAACCAGTGTGGTGTAGTGGTCTGAATGTTGGATTAGGACTTTAGAGATGAGGGTTCAAATCCCCGCTTGGGCATGGAAATCCACTGCATGACTTTGGGCAAGTCATACTCTTTCAGACTCACAGCAAAGTTAAAATCCCCTGTGAACAAATCTTGCCAAGAAAACCCTGCGGTAGATTTGCCTTAGGGTCATCATAAGTTGGAAATGACATGAAGGTACACAGCAAACAACAACAACAACTACTACTACTACTACTACTACTACTACTACTACAATGCCATGTGCCTGTGTGGAAATGACTGGAATGTCCAGTTAATAAAAATATACTTTAAAATACTGTGGGTTTTTTTGCTCATGCAGGGCTATGTGCTGCTTAGAAGTGAAACATCCTGAAGTGCCTGGAGATCCCTAAGAGGCTTATCAGGATATATTTGTAGTGTGTGTGTGTGTTAAAAAAAGATTCCTCTCACACACACAAAATTCAGCAGAAAAGTAGGGTGTCTTATTGCTTTGCTTGTGGAAGGAATTTTACACAGTGGGATATCATTGTTATTGCTGTTGTTATTACATACCCTTCAACTGTCCCAATTTGACAGGGACAGTCCTGATTAATCCTCTGTTGTCTCACTTTTTCAGCTGATTTTAAAATGTTCCAGTTTCTCACTTCTCCTTCCACTTTCCCTCTTTGACTCTTGTTTACTTCAGTTGTGGAAGACTGAATTCAATGTGCAAAAGTAGTTTGCTCTCACATCAGCAGGGAGGAGAGGAGAAGGCAGACTCTTGCCCTTCCCAATAGGCTGAGGCAAAAGCAGACCGCTACAGCCTCCTTTTGCTTGTGTATTTGTCCTCATTAATACCTTTTGCCATTTTGACCAAAATCTGATGTTGCTTGTCCACATGTGTCCCAGTTTTCATCTTTGAAATGTTGGAGAGTATGTTGTTATGTGACCTCAAATTGATCCTGACTTATGGTGACCATATCATCTTGGCAAGATTTATTCAGGTAATATTTGTCATTGCTTTCCTCTTAGGCTAAGAGAATGTGACTTGCCCAAGGTCACCATGTGAATTTCCATGGCTGAATATGGAATCAAATCCTGGTGTCCCAGAGATCTAGTACAACATTCAAACCACTACAGCACACTGTTTTTCAGGAACAGCATTAGGCCATTTGTTACACCTTTATTATGTTTATTTTGAATGGTCAACTGGGCAAAGGAGAAAATAAAAGAAGCCAAGATCGAGTCACATATTAGACTGCTTTTAGCTATGTCTCCACTGAGGAAGATTGCTGTCCATGACAGCGATGCTGTTCCTGATAACTGATGAACAGCACAAACATGCTGTAAGATAGACTGGTATATGTTTGTACTGGTAAGGCTATGCTGAAATAGTTATGTGTTACCATTAAGACACTTATAATTATAACCCCTAGAATTGAACTCATAACCTTGTGGCTGAAGTGCCAGCATTAAACCACTGCACCACCAGGGGTCTCTTTAGACAATTCTGTACACATACAAGTGTTTATGAAGTGTTTATATAATGCCTTAACAGATGCTATAGAAAGCATGAAAAACCTGATAATGATGATGGATAAATGGCTAGGTTGTATGTTACAGAAGGGTCGTGTTTCTACATGTTTTAACTACTACAAAGCCTGTTAAAAAGATACAGAAAGAGAAAAAGTCAGTCCTTAAGGGAATGTAACATCTTGATGACCATATGCCATAACGTAATGAATGCATGATGCTTTACATGCAATGTACAATGGGCCCTTGGTATTCACTGATATTTGGTTTTGGGACCTACCATGGATACCAAAATCTGTGGATGCTCAAGTACCATTAAGTACAATGACATAGTAAAATGGTATAATTGCCATTATTTAAATTGGCAAAATCAAGGTTTGCTTTTTGGAATTAATATGTTTTTAAAATATTTTCAGGCTGTGGATATGTGTGTTTCTCCCTAAGGGGATTAAATGTGTTTGTATAAATAGCCTAAAAGAATATCAAACAACCTGTTCATTTCCCATGGAAATATTCTGAAATTCCAACACATAAGAATGCTTAAATTGAATGTTGATGTTAGGTCTGGCTGTCTGATCTAACCATCATCACAACTTGGGCATTCAGATGGCCAGATGATAATGGGACCTCAGATGGAATCTAGATTAGCTGATATGTGGCAAGGACCCTGACTCTCTCAGTTTTAAGAGGTAAAGCTTATACTTTTTAACTGGTTTTTCAGAGAAGGTAAAAACCAGATCTTTGCAGCTTGGCTTTCTGTTTGGCTGACCGGCTGGCCTATTTTCTTGTTTGTTCCTTAAGGGTTTTTAATGCTGTTTTCTTGCCTTTCTTTGTGGGCTGTTTGAACACATTTGTCCTCCTTATTGTAGGGTGCTTTGTTTGTCCTAAACAAATTAATGCAGTAATACATTGAGGATAGTAATCAAACCAAGCTGAAGTGGGATAGATCCAACATGACCTGCAAAACTAGGGAGTCAAGGAAGATTGTAATTTTCATTCTAAGATACTTTTCAGAATGAAAATTAATTTAATGCATCACAGTTGGTGACAGCAATACAGAGGCTATTAAAATTTACACACCAATTTAACACAGTTGTCTTGGAGAGGCATCAAGGAGATTTGCTTATCAAAGCCATGTGTTTTCACCTGAAATCCTGCTGTGTCTCTTGTGTATTGGTGTCACTTTTGCTGCAATAATTTATGGGTGGGGAGATAGGTTTCAAGCATCTGCTAATGTGAAACTGTACATCTCTTCTCTTTCCACCACCTGCCTTGTGTACTTTGGCAATGAAAGGTATTTTGTTTTGCAGAAATAATTTGCAATGTTACCTCTTTCTGGATCTTATGGGGCCAATTATGACTGAATATTATGAAAGCAATCACATTTTAAGTCCCAATATATTTTTCACAATAATACAACAACTTATATATTAAGTTATCCCACAGGTTCCATGCATCCAGTGAGATACCAGTGTAGGAGTTGACTTCAGGATTCTTCTGTCTGTACTGCTCAGTAGAATTGCAATATTTGGATGCAACCTTAAATATAAATACAAAATAGATGCACATACAGTATAGAAATTCCACTGTAAACAATGTAGTCTTTTGCTCCCTACTAATTATATAAATGAAAATCCCACTATGTTAGTCAAAGTGAACTGAGTCTACTCCTTAGCTCTGGCAACTGCAGTCCTTCTTCTCTCCAAATCTTCCTCTTTCTGAACAGAATTAGTAAGCACAGCCCCTTCTTGAGAGCTTCCCCACCCATTGGGCCAAACCAATAATGCATAGGGGTTAATCACCATAGAAACTTTGGAAACATTGATTTTATTAACTAAAACTCATGAGCCTATTAATGCAAATCCAGACACCCCAGTTCAAAGATTCACAAGGTTCTCCTGATTTTCCCTTTTTGCATTTTTAAATGCTCAGGTTCATCAGTTGATTTGTAAATCAAAGTTGACAGACTATTGATTGATGGTCTAGGAAGCACAACTTTTAGTTAAACTTTAGCATGTAGGTTTAAAATAAAGACTCTAAATAGTAACATAACATTTAAGGCAGTTGGCTATGCAGTAAGTCATGCTCAAAGTTAAGGCACTTACAGAATCAGACAGATATCTTTGCCAGCAAAGGATACTCCAGCCCTAGAGCTCCAAAATGGCTGCCTCATATCCAAAATGGACTGAGAGATGCTGATCACTTATAGGCAATCTTTTTTTAAAAAGAACGAGATGGACTTCTCCTTTCAAGCTCCTTGATTATGGGGGGTTGCAGACTGCCAGAAATAGTGCAAATTGAGTCCACTTTTAGGGTTAGGGTTAGTGCTGGGGAATCATGGGAATTGTTTTCTTTCTGGGACATTGAGCCTTCTCTGTCAGAGAGTTCTGGTGCCACAATAAAATACAGTCCCCATGATTCCCTAACCCTAACCCTAAAAGTGGACTCAATTTGCACTATTTCTGGCAGTCTGCAACCCCCTGAATTCAATTACCGTGCTATATTTTAATAATTATACTTTGTTGTTGAAGATTGGGTTTTTGAGAAATGTCTTTAGCATGAACATTTCCTCCATGTGCTCAAGTGCAAGGGCAGCAGCATCTTCAGGTCACACCAAATAGTTAAAGAAGTAGTTTTACTCTCACAATATTTAAGCTGATTTTTATCTTATTTACAAGTATTTCTATCCTGTCTCATATTGCAGTCTCTCTGAGTGGCTTGCAACTGAAAAGGTACGACAATAAAAATTTAAAACAATAAAAATAATTGAAACATTTTAAAACAGTAAACATTGTGTAAAAAGCTGGCATTAGAATAATATGAAATCATGTATCTGTATGCATTAGGTAATCTCAATGATTGGGCTCCAAAGGGATTAATAAAAAGACAATTTTTACTTTGGCACTGAAATGAGACCAGCATCAGCACAAATCTGTTGTCCAAGGGGTTCAACAAAGAGGGTGCTATGGCAGAGAAGGCCCTCTCCCATGCCCTTTTACAGTGTTTTGCTCCTAATGATGGGACACAGAGAAGGGCAAAACATTCTTCTTCATGGTTTCTGTGATTCACGCAAAAGAGGTCATCTGTGTCTGTGCAGATCTAGGGCTACTGTGTAAGCTTTTTGGTGATAGTTTGCCCACTACCCACGTGCCCTATAAGAGCACTTCTTGCCTAATTCTTCCATTCCTTTTTGTCCAATGCAATAGCATCAATAGAAATGGTTCTGAGCTTGGATTTTCTTCTATTTTCTGATCTGCATTTTTCAGCTTATTATCTTGTGTTTTGACTTCGGTCTGCTTGGGTGTCCATGAGTTTAGACAGGAACTGCTCTGGTTGGGCATTCAGGTGGGTGGGGCTACCACCAAAAAGCTTACATAATAGTACTAGAAGGTTCCAAATGATGCATTGCACAGATGCAGATAACCTCATTTGTGTGAGTTCACCAATGACTACTCCAAGAACTACAGTTACAGGTAAGCAACCTGTCCTTCCACATATTGAGTACCAGCTGGAACTAGAAAACTAGTTGCTTTTTCCATGT